GAACACCGGGAAGCTGCTGATAGCTGCAGTCCTGCCATGGGATTTGTGCCACCAAGTTTCAGTAATGGCAAATAGTTCATAGCTTTCTAGTAGCATGGTGCCTTCCAGCTCATGTTTGTTGCCCGTGCTCTGTGCATTGGTGCAGAGGCACTTCAGCTGGGCTGTTGGCTGTGTCACCTTCTTAGAGGAAAACTCTTAATCTGGGATACTTCACAGGTGTTTCCTTGTTGGCTTCTTTCATGTCAAGAGCCCTGGCTCATCTTTGCAGGACTTCAAGTGAGTTCCAGTGTAGCCAGCATGTCTCAGAGCAAGAGGCTGACGGCCCTCACTAGCACCCTGTCCCTCTATTGCATGTCATCCCACAGCTTGTCACAGGCATGCCTAACACCCCCTGAGCCCTTCAAGTCTAGTTCAGAGCTCTGTCAATGAGCCCCACGACCTTCTGAGCGAAGGCCCTCTTCCCCTTTTGAGAAAAGTGAATCTCACCTAGCATGAGGAGGCCTGGTGTCCTATAGACCATCCCATTATTGAAAAACCTGAAATGTGACAGTGATGCCAGCCATGGAGCCACTCTGGGATTTGCACTGACATGGGTTCCTTGAATTGCGTTTATGATCCTGTTTCCACTGATGTTAACTTTGTTTTTCCATGCCAGGTTAACCTGTTTGTTATGCTGTCTGTCATCTGTGTTCTGCTGGGCTTGGCTGGATTTATATTAGGATGTCAAGGCCTTCAGTTTGTGTCCAGTGTACCCAGATGCGATTTGGTGAGCAGACATACTGATCTACACATAGGTATTCATGGCATGCCACATAAGCTTGCCATGCTGGGATCACAAAATGTGCTAATGTAGAGATGCAAGTAATGCAGCTACAGCGAGGTGGGGGGAAAGGAGAGACAACTCTCTGTTTGAGGCCTTGGTTAAATTCAAGTTGTGAACAGACTCACTGAAATCCACAACAGTATTTTTATTGTCTGTGTTCCTAAACACTTGGGGTTTTTTGAGTTGGAGCCTTCATAAGCTGCTCATTTCCTAAATCTGAAGACCCCAAAAGGGAATTTTTTGAAAGGTTTTACTCTTCATTAGAAGAGCATACTTAGCCCAGGAATCGTTTTGTTTGACTTTATTGAGAGCTGCCCTCTGTCTTTAGGGTCTGAAGACATGGCTGATTTTGTACAAGGCTTCTAAACAACTTTATGGGGCTGTGTAGGAGAGACTCACAAATGTATCTTTAGAAACCCCCCCTTGGCAGCATTATATACTGATTTTAATACCATAGTAATGTAAGAAGTAGGATCAAGAATTTTTATAGTAATGTGATAATGATAAACTGTTGAAAAAAACCTGAGTGGGTATTGGTGAGCTACCTACAAGAAGTTGTCAGGATAATCTGTGGGTGGGATTATTTTTCCTGGTTTGCCTCACCTGGTGAGGACAATTGTGTTGATACCTTACAGCAGGAACTATAAGGGGAAAATGAAGGTAAAGCAAATCATACTAGCTTTTCAGAACACTGCTACTTAAGGAAGAAGCAATCTGCACAAGGAAGGACAAAATGCAAAAGATATTTCTCAATTGAGTGTCATAAGAAGTAGAATAATGTCTTTAAATATTTCTTACTGTTAATTTGTTACTTTAAAAAAGCTCCTTTTAATTCCTTAACATGCCATTTGAGTTTTTTACAGTGAGAGTAAAAGATTTTAGAAGCACTTTGGCAGTCTAGATTCACCCAATATCAATGTACTGAAGCAGCACCAAGAACTGGTAATGTTATTCCAGATAAGATGGTTAAACTTTTCAGGAAATTTGGAGCCCACTGTGGTTAGGAGCATAGGTTACAGCCAAAAGGTATTCCTGAAATAATAAATTATTCCGTAGAGTGGTTTTATGTAGATGGAAGACCTGTGACACTATGACTCTAGAGTTTGATCACTAAAAACTCTTACTATCTCTAGATAAAGATGCATTTCTACTTGAAGCTAAGATGACAACATTAATTTGAAAGTTATAAACAATAGGCGTGTAGAGATATTATTGATTTGGCTAGGCTAAAATTCTAGTTGTGGATTTCATTTCCTCTGAATCAAAGAAAATGTGTAGTCCAAATACAGTGACTTATACATCAGCCAAAGATAATTTCTACACTGCTGTTTGAAGGAGCATGCATGCTAAAATGCCTCAGTAGTTTGTGCAGCTTTGGTTACAACTAAGTTGCATTTAAACCTCTTGAGCTTGTCAGTGGTGCCTCCTTTTAGATAAGAAGTATGCATAACATAGCTTTATAATGCATTAGTATTTGGTGTTATCACACTGTACAAATCTCATTTAACAAGCCCATATTCCCAGTCTGCTTTGCAGCCAGAGGTGTAGTTTAACACATAGGCTCTACATTATGTGGGGAAAGATGTTGCATAAAACAGCTGATAAATTAGAAAGTGGCTGTTTCTGTTTTTAAAGATGGATATAGGTGAAAAGAAGGTTTGTTTCTGCTGTCAAGAATTACATCTCACTAAATGCTCAGAAGAGACTGCGCTGAAGCTGAACCACATGAAGTCATGCAGTGCTGTTCACCTTCGCCTCAAGGTACCCTGCACTCCCTGCTTAGCACGTCTGCTCTGGTAATGCCCCTGCTTGTGTGACAGTGCAGTGCTGAGGTGGCTGCTGCACACACTGGGAAAAAAATCTGTTATCTTCTAGTCTTCCACACTGGTTAGAAGCTCTGTATGGTTCTGTAACAGGTTTGTTGGTTGGGTTTTTTTCCTCATCTCTGGGTTTTGACCACTGTGTTGCTGATCCAATATGCAGTTCTTGTCCTTTCTGTGTTGTATGCAATCAGAAATACAATTGAATTCAGACCAGATTGCATGGGTGAATATGGTGTATATTTTAGCTAGTGATTTGATGATGCCTTCACTCATCTTTTGATCTTCTCAGCCTTTATTATTTTAAAAACTGCTAAAATAAAACTTCTGAACAGCATCATCTCCAAATATATAAATGCTTTAATATTTCTTTAATAGTGATTATCTTGCATCTGGATTTCCCATGGAAAAGTTAAGAGGAAGGTTATAAATTTTGGATGAATAGGTGGACTAAATCACATCTGAGAGGTATTAAACCCTGCTGTGTCTTTCTGTTAGAATATACAGTAGGGCAAAACAAGCTTTTACAAATTACTCTGGTCTTGGACGTTACCTGTCCTGAAGATTTCATCACATGTGTTTCTAAGAAGTAATTGTCATTATAATCCATGTGTTTTCTGTTTGTTTTTATTTTTATTATTACTATTATTTTGACATTTACAAATACCATGATGTAATGTTTTAATTTCCATAATCTTCATGTTCTTCAGAAATTACTTTTTGCTCTTTGTACCCTGAATGCTCTCACCACCACAGTTTGCTTGGTAGCAGCTGCCCTGCCTTACCTACGTGTTTGTACAACAGGAAGATCCAACATAGTAAGTGGGTGCAAGGTGTTGCCTGCTGTAGACAGCAGAACTAACAGTACTACTAGATTACACAGTTCCACATTTTTTATCTTAGAAAGTTTTTAACAGAAGTTTCATCTGGTTAGGGTGAAGCTCAGGTTGAAGACCAACATCACATTTCGGATCCTGATGATTTTGTCCCACCTGTGCCACCTCCTTCCTATTTTGCAATTTTTCATCCTTATACTCCACAAGTGAGTCGCAGGTAAACTCTACACTCTCTTCCTTTCCCTTAGTGTCTTTGGAAATAATACATAATCTTTTTTTTCCTTTTTTATTTACTTTTTTGTTTGTTTGTTTTAAAGGCCATTTTCTCAGCTGTTAGCTGAAAAAGTTTGGTGACTTTAGGAAAGAAAAAAAAAAAGAAAAAACCTGTTGAATTAGAAAGCAGCGTTTTGTGTTTTCCACTGAATATTCAGTAGTAGCTGTTTCTGTGTAAGAGAAATACTGCAGTTTGACAGGGCTGAAAACTTTTAGAATGCTTCCAGGAGCAGGTCAGGGCAGTGATGGAAATTGAGGGGCAGCTGATCGACAAGGCTTGTGCCAGAGAGGCAGGGCTCACACTTGGTGTTGCTGCTGGGCTTCTCTGCGGGAGAGAGGAGGAGTGAGAGTGAAGGCTTGAGGATGCGTTCACGTATCAAAGGAGGGTAGACATAAGTCACTGTAATCTCTTCCCTCCTCACCCTCCTTATTTTTTTAACTCACTACAAACATGAAGGAAGAAGGATTTTAAGGTGAACAAAAGAATAGCTGTGTGAACTTTCTTGTAGGAGGAATCATACATAAAATCTTTAGGTTGAAGAAGACAACTGCCTTTGATATGAAACATTGAATGTAAATTTGGTGGATTTTCTCTTCTTATGTTAATTTCAAGAAAAGTAGGACTGAAAATCATGAAAATCCTGTTGCTTGTCTATTAAACATCAACTGTTATTTTGTTGTACTGGGACTTACTAGTGCCTATATTTCTTGCAATTCAGTGGTGACTTTTGGGTTTTGTTATCCATCCTTCTGCAAGTGATTTGTACACTCTTCACATTAACTTGAAGGTTAGCTCTTTTATTAGTTTATTGCTCAGTTGGGGCTGCATTATTCTGCTGTGAACACACAATGTTTATATATAAAATATGATGGTGTTCAAGCAGACTCTTGTTTAAAACTCTTGCTTTTTGCAGTATACATGACTGTTTAGTTTATTTCACTGCTTCATCAGAAATAACATGCAAGAGTTCCAAGATTCCATGGTCCTTGCAGAGGTAATTGCAGATCTTGGGATTACCTACAAAATGGTAGTATGGCATAGGAGTATATTTTAGAATAAAAAAATAATCTAAATGCCAAAGTCTAGGATTGTATTACAAATATTAATGAAAGCCTCCTGTGTGAGTCTTGGTTCAAGCTGGTTATGAGAAGAGAGCAGTATGCACAACGTTCTCTTTGGAAGATTAAGTACATATTGAAATACGCTTGTCACAGTTCCTCTGCTTTAAAATGGGGCTGTCGTTCTTCATCTGGTATGTCATTCTAGATGGTTATCTCCTTCCCAGCAGCAGCATTTCTCTTGGTCTATTTTCAGCACAGTAGGGGTTGCCAAACAGTATTTAGGGCTTCTGCAGTCTGATATTGGGTGTGACTGCATTAAAACCTGTTGATAATAACATGGGATGGTGATATCTTTCTGAAGTCAGGCTGCTTGTTTCAAGATGCTCAAGGTAGTTATGCAGCAGTACAGAAGTTAAAACAACAGACAGACTTGACTCCATTCTTGGCAGATGAGGAAATATGACTCAGCCCAGGCTGGATCCAGGGTGTCCAGCAGCTCAGCTTGAGATGGGACCTGGCCTTTTTTCAGTCAGCTTCCTTGCACTTCTCCCTCCCCTCCCTGCCTGGCCTGTACCCTGAGGGCCATGCTGTGTCCATGACCTGGCTTTCTGTGCTGAGCTCTGGTGGACCACACATCCAAAACCTTTTTGCAAAAGGGGACTGACAGGAACAGCATCCCAGCTGGTGAGCCACCATCAGCAAGCTGCACCTGGGGCAGCTGGAAAACACATATATGCCTTTGAGAAAGTGTCATGGTTTAACGCTGGCTGGCAGTTAAAGGATCAACAGATTGCTCTCTGTTAACCCCCCGTCCTTCTCTTGATAGGGAAAGGAGAGGGCCTAAGGGAGAGAAACTCTTACAGGTTGGAAACTAAACTACACAGTTTTAATGAGACAGTAGAGATTATAAGGAAAAGTGATTAAATATATACAAATACACACAAAAGCATTATTGTGCGTTCATCAAAGGTAGATGAACAAATGGAATCCTTGTGGATATACTTTGGAATACTTTGGTTAATTTTACTCACCTGTCTGGTCCACTCCTCCCCAAAGGAGCATCTCAGGTGTGACCCTTTTACTCCCTTCTGGATCTAGAGCACCAGTGGGTTTTTTTCAGACCCAAGCAGTGGCCTCGGTTCTGCAAACCACTTTCCAGCCATAACTATAGATGTGGAGCATTATCAGTCTGAGAGGCAGACATATCGACTGAAAACCATGCTGTTAATTTCAGCAACTGCAGCTGCTTAGAAGGGACTTAACTGAAAAGTAAAATCACAAAAAGAAAATCAGTTATATCCTGGCGCAAACCAGGGCAGGAAGGAAACACTGCCTTAACTAAAACATGTGCCAAGGGTGTATTTGGAACAGGTAGCCATTCTTCTCCACCCTTCACATTGCAGAGCCAGAAGCACTGCTAGCAAAACCAATTAATTGGTTCGTTCATGAGAAAATGTCTACGTTTCTCTTAACTAGTGGTAGACAAAACAAACTAGCATTATGAATATTTGATCAATTTCTACTTATTTCATAAATCTTACTTGATAACTAAGGAGATAGCAGTGAAGTTATATTTCAGGTTTGGCACAACAACATTAACATTACAGTTCCCATGTGAATAATGAAATACAAAGAGTTGTAAGGTATAGGACTTCAAGGGAAGAAGTGATCCATGGCAGCAGACCAATCACCTCTGTTGTAGAAATCTAAACCAGACCAGTTTAAAATACCTTTTGGGGACTAGGTGCATTTGCTAAAACACAAATCTGCTTTTCCAAGTTATGTGTTCTCACAGTCAGTGTGTGTCTCCAACTGGACCTATATACTGATGACAGTTGTTTCTTCCACTGAACATATTCCTGATACTGAAACACTGAACTTTACAGGAGACCAAAGACCAGACTCTATTGTTCAACTGAGGGACAAGGGCAGAAGGTGGGTGAGAGGTGGCCAAGGATGCTTCTGCCCCTTCATGTCCTGCTTACCAACATCAGTACAGAGCCTCCTCACACTCCTGGAGCAGTTTCTTGACAGTGGGCTTCCCTGAAAAATCTTTGATTCCTCTTCCCTACCTTCCTGTATCATCACTTCAAAAAGGTGCTGGCTTCTTAACTATCACAAGAATCCACTTTGCTTGCAGAAAAAGAAGGAGTAGAAATTAAGAAATAAAGAGCAGACTGGCAAATGAGCACATCCTCGGAATTATTTTTGTATTAATATACTTAAGGGGATGGTTTTCCAGTTGCATGTTCTTATTAGTTTTAATGTGATGTAATTTTTTGGATGCAACATTAATTTTAAAGGTGTGACTGAGCTTGGTAGGCCTGATCAGGCATGTTTAAAAACAAAACTAAGGTTGGAGAAGTATATAATTTGTTACCTGCATAGAATGTAAGCTCAGCATGAACGTACTGGAAAAGTGTGAAGAAGTAATGTCAATGGAGCACCAGTCTCCACTGTACTCCAAAACTATTCAGAAGCTTTAAAGGGCAGATGAAATAAATTGAAATTAAAACCAATTTTAACCTGTTATATTTCTCCTATTTTTAAGATTAAACAAGTGATGACAGTTATCAAAATATTTTCTTTCTTTTCCTTATACTTCTCAATGCAATACCTCCCTCCATTACTTTTGACAGGAGCCTTTCAGAAAAGTGCCCCCCAGTTCTCTTTTTGGAACTATGCTTTTCCACTGTAAGGAGCCTTCTGTAGGCGTTTTCATTCACTCTGCCCTTTCAGTTTACAAGAAGGTAAATTTCACAGGCATCTTTGTTCCCTCCAGCAAGGTTCAGAGGAGCCCTAAACTCTGGGAGGAGGGACTTGCTCTTGTGTAACATTTCTTTGTAGAGAGATCACATCCATTAATGGTAGCTTGACATGGGTCCAGAAAGGAACACACACAGAATTCTGTGTGTTGCTTGTGGTTCCTGCTCAGTACTGAGTCAGAAATTTAAAACGTAATAGAAAGCAGAGAACAAATGATGCTTTTGGTCACAGACTTCTCTGAAATCTGTGTGGGGAAGGTCCCTTCTGCAGCTCTGCTTTTGTCCACAACATTTTGTTCCAATGTTAATGGGATAATGTAAACTTTGTTACCAAAATCAGCATTTGCCAAAAAGAGTTTCTCCAGGCACTCTTCTGATCTCTTTCCTCTCAGGGTTGCCTCCTAAGAGTATGGTGATACAGCAAAGGGTCTTTGGGATGTACTTAAGGTTTCAGAGAGCTCTTTGAAAACCAAGATTAACCATGAGGTACACTTGCCTCATGCAGGCCTTTGTGAATTGATGAACTCTAAAATTCTTAGTCAAGCATCATCACAAAAACAGCCTTTAGTTTGAGTTTGCCTTTTTCTGTGAAATAAAACTGAAATGGGTTCCTAGGCACCCAAAGATGTTTGAAGCTCTGGTGAGCACATTGGAGAGGCATCTCCTAGGGAGGAATTTTCTGCCATCTTCTGAGCTACCACAGGAAAGCCAGTGGAGTTTGTTGGCAGATAGCTTTTTTTCTGCAGCTGGTAAACAAACCATACTGACAGAGTTGCTCGGTGTTTGTTACAGGATGCGTGGCTCCGACGTGATTCCGTTGCACCATATTTACGGAGCGCGAATCAAAGGAGTTGAGGTATTCTGTCCTCTGGATCCACCTCCTCCTTATGAAGATGTGCCGAGCCAGAGCAGCTCTGAGCAGGTATGGCCCACAGGAGTTTAAAGCATAACTTGTTTTTCTGCTATAACCGTAAGGTTGCACTGAGGCATGGTAGACATAAGTCAGGTATCTCCTCATTTCAGAATAGCAGGAGGATATGTTTGTTTACAAATAAGGCTTGCTGTAAGTTTCACTGAGGATTTTAATTAATCGTTTACCTTTAGAATTAAAAAGTTTTCCCAGTTGCAATACTCTATCCGAGCATGGGAGAAGCAGCAAAATACACTGTGGAGTACACCTGTTGCTGGTTATTCTAGAGTATCCTTGTGCTGCCTCCTTGCCTTGCTGCCCTTCCACGCCTGTACTCCTCCTTCGTGGGACTAGGTCAGGGTTTTGCAATGCTTACTAATCCCTTTTCACTGGTGTTTTCAGAGGATAGGTGTTTTTTTTCCCCAGAAAATACTCAGTGGGATAAAGTTTGCTGACCTGGATGATGAACATTAATTTTAGACATGCACTAGTCTTGGTTTTTCAGTGGAATTAAGACATCTTGCATAGTCATTGTGCAGTTAAGCAAAAGTGTTCACATTCTAAGGTGGATGTTGCAGTTCTTAGCAAGTACCAGAAAAAAAGATGGAGGCTTGTGATTTTTTAACTTTTCTATTTTATTCCAGGAAGGTGAACTCCAGAGAAGTGTTGCAGAGGTTGTTGATTTGGGGGAAGTGAGTAACAGTCGGGCCTCTCAAGGTAAACAGTACATGTTAAAATTTCTTCTAGAGCACTTCTAGCAAACCCAGATGACTTAGTAATGGTGCTGCTGCTACCTGTCTTTGAAAGACAGCCACCTTATTGCAAGCCAGAGATACAGAATCGTGACTGTTTGGGGCAGTAGGAGGAGGGATTAATGTTTAAAATATGTATTTTTTTTGCTCTTAATATACAATAGGAAATATATATTTCCTTCTTAGTAGTCTCCAAGTTAGTTGTTGACTCTACATCCATATGCTGTAAGAAATTATATCCGGCTCCAGTGTGTCCATTTGTTCTGTAGATGTGATGGTCCCTGTTGGCATTTTGTAGCAGATGAAAATAGGGAAAGGATAAAATAGTGCTGTACTGTGTTGAGCTAAATGTGGAAATGACTCCGTTATTCAGCCTGCAAGCAGCAGAATTACTAAATAATTTCTGTGTATTTGTACAGGACGTAGCTAGACTACTTGCAGAGGTCATATCAAGCTTTGTTCAGCATTCTTTTAGAAAACCATGGAAATGGTTCCAAGTTGTTTTCAGTCTAATCTTTGTTGTGCTGTATGCTTCAGTTAAACATTACTGGCTCCCAGATAAGTCACAGGCAACTTTTCCAGTACATCCTCAGTGAAAATCGGTTCAGCTTTCGTTTGAATTTGCCATTGTGGGACAGATTGTCTTCTGTGCTATAGGTGGCTATGTGCTTCTTTTCACAATGTTCACATCACAAGAACATAGAGACTAAAAACAGTCGGTTGGAGGTGAAGCCCCAGATCTCTTGTTTGAATGTTGCTTCTCTTCTGCCAACCTACTTCTGAAGCTATAGGAAAACTTCTGGGTGAAGTTTAGCAGTGGAAATTGTCCCTACTGTATAGTGGGAGGAAAAAAAAATGTTTACATAAAACCACACTTTAACCAAATAACAAGCCATTTCACACCTATACATCTTTTAAACACCTCCAGGGATTCTGATTCAACCACCCCCCTGAGCAGCCTCTTCCAGTGTTTAATTACCCTGTCAGTGAAATTTTGTCTAATCTAAACCATCCCTGACACAATATGAGTCACTTTCCTCTTGTCATGTTTCTTGTTACTAAGGTTAAAAAGTTTATATTGTTGATAGATTTTCATCCTGCCTGATTCTTGCTCTGGCATGCTTTGTTGCTACCTCCCAACTTTCCAGGCTGATACCTGCTTTTACATAGGTTGTGTCACTGTATCTGCTCTTCAGAGATTCTGGGTTGCATTTGTATTGGAATGTGTTGGTTTGGTTTTGACTGCTGTTTGGTAGCAGGGTAGGGGTGGCTGCTCAAAGAAGCTGCTGTAAAGCTCCTCTGCTCCAAAAAATGCAGCCACACCTCTGGGCCAAGACAGAGCTGTCAGGGACAGTGGATGTGCCTCTGTGATAAACTTGTAAAAGAAGGGGAAACAAGCTGATATGAGACCTTAGAAGAGAGGATAGGGGGAGGTGGGGAGCAGAGGGAAGAGCAGTGCCAGAGCAGTGATACCGATGGTAGGGGAAGAGGAGGTGCCTGAGCAGAGGTTCCTCTGCAGCCCGCGGTGAGGCAGCAGGCTGTCCCTCTGCAACCCATGGAGGAACACAGTGGAGCAGCCTGTGAAGGGCCATGCTGCAGCAGAGGTGGACCTGCACCAGGGTGGTGAGACAGCAGGCTGTCCCTCTGCAACCCATGGAGGAACACAGTGGAGCAGCCTGTGAAGGGCCATGCTGCAGCAGAGGTGGACCTGCACCAGGGATGGGGACTGTTCCCAAAGCAGCTCATGACTCTTGTGGGAAGCCCACAATGGAGCAGAGATTCATGGAGGATGCTCTCCTGTGGGAGGGACCCTGTGGGGAAGCAGGGCAGGACTAAGGAATCCTTCTTCCTGAGGAGGAAGGAGCAGCAGGAACCACCAGCCTGTGAACTGACTCTAAACCCCATCCCCTGTTCCCCTGGACTGCTGGGGGGAAGGAGGGAGAGAAACTGGGAACAAAGGGATTTGGGCCTGGGAAGAAGGGAGGGGTGGGGTGAGGTATTTATGAACTAGTTTTAGTTTTTTCTTTGTCCTGTTTGCATCTGGTGATGTGAGAAATTGGCGGGTTTTTTTTCCCAAGTTGAGTCTGTTTTGCCCAGGACCACAAATGCTGAGTGAATCCCCCTTGTCCTTTGTCTTGACCCACAAGCTTCTAGTTGTTTTTTGTCCTCCCCTTCCCACAATGTGTGTGTGAGGGGGGGTGAGTGAGGGGCTGCCTGGTTGGTAGTTGTCAGCTGAGCAGCCCTGTGGTTCTTTGTTGTCAGCTAAATCACAACATGGAGATAAGGTGCTGGTTTTACTTTTGTGTGGACAAGAACAGTGTTTTCTTCCAGGTGCCATCAGATGGAGGCACAGAACCAAGATTGGTGAGAAATACATCCTGGTTGCTGGAAGGCAGTTGTGGGAATTGCAACATATAATTTCACCCTAAGGAAAAGGAGGAACGGTATTTAACTGGAAAGATGAAACAAGAATTCAAGAAAATCTTAATTTTAATAAAGAAACTAATGAAATAAGGTTTTTAATCCCCTGGTTCTGGTGACTGGTTCATGAGCTACATAAATGCAAATAGTGACTGACCTCCATGATTATATGCTGTGATATCTTAGTCCAACTGCTTATATGCAAGAGAATTTCAGGCTCTGTGAGGTTTAGTTTTCTCTCCAAGAAAGCTGCAGCTCCCTTCTCTCTGATCTGGTGGTTTAAGGCAAGGTTTATACTAGGCAAAGCTGTATTTTTTTGCCATTGTAGTTGCATAAGTCTCAACAGCTTACTGCAAATGTATAAGCAGGCTTTAGGACAGGTTACTTGTGAGTGTGGGTGTATACACACATCCATACACCTCTAGGCTTTTGTGTCCCATCATTACAGATTTCTGGGGAAAGCACAACAAAAATCAGTAATAATCTTTAATAATGGCTTCTAGAGATCTGCTTTATTCCAGCTACTTTTCCTTCACCTTTACTATCCCTAATTATTCAGATGAAGGAATGCCTGAGTCTTCCAGCAGAATGAGCCTTTCACCTTCAAATGCAAGCCCAGTGCCTGGTGAAGGAGCCAGCAGAAGAGCCTTCAGTTTGTCACGGAAATGGTCTAGAAGTGATCCTGTGCTGCACTACCAGTTGCCTCAAGGTGACTTGATTTTCTCTTACCAGAGTGTCATGGTTTTAGCCAATAACCAGGTGAGAGATGCTTTCTCTCTGTCATCCCCCTACTACCCTCCCAGGGGAATATTAAAAGGGGAGTAAGGGAGACTTTAAGGTTAGGAGAAAAAACACAAACTAGAATAGGTTTAATGAAGTAGTAATAATAATAATGATGATGGTGAATTACAAATACATACAAATACGGAACCCATGCTCCTCAGCTGATAATTACTTCCCAACCAGGGAAGTCCCAAACTGGACTTGGCAGCAGATGGGAGTGCCCAAGTCCAGGGTCCCAGTGACAGTCCACAAGCACCTCGGAGAAGCCAAGACGCAAGCAGGCAGAAGAAGGCAACCTATCTCGGTGAAAGATGTTCTTCCCTGGTGAGAAAACAGGATGGAGGAGCCCCTGCAGCAGCAGAAGGACAGATGACAGACAAACCCGTCCAGTCAGAGAAGGGCTCTCTGATGAGTCATAGAATCATTTAGGTTGGAAGGAACCTTAAAGATCACCTGCCATGAGCAGGGACCCCCATCACTAGACCAGGTTGCACAAAACCGCCTTAAAAGCATCAACAGCCTCCCTGGGCAACCCATTCCAGTTCCTCACCACCCTCATAGTGAAGAATTGCTTCCATTTTCTACTGAGCACCATGGCCAGGAGCCCTGTGGTTGGTCTGTGAGGGTGACCTGACCCAGTCTCTCCTCCCCAGCGGCTCAGCTGCTCCCCCCGCCAGCACTGACACAGGCTGCTGGGGGAGTCCAGGAGGTCTCAGGGCACAGAGCCTGTGTACCAGGTCCCTCAAAGAGCACTTTTCAGGAGGTTAGTACCTTCAACCTCATACCTGCAGAAATCAGCTACTGTATCTCAACAGAATACCTGCATTACAGCAGTTCGTGCTTTGCCAAATCTTCTCCACCCAACATCTAGGGATGCTAGGCTCCACCCAGCATCTTGCTGCACTTCAGGATTTCACATCTAGGAACAGGGTCTGTAGTAGGCATTGCTAGTCTGGGGAGCAGGGATGGGTGGTAGAATATGAGGAGGAGGGAGCGTAACAGATTTTTCAGTGTGCTGGCATCTAAAAGTTTGCAAGGGCAGTCATCAGTGTGAGCAATTTAAAGCAAAATAAGCTTGGGTGATTAATTTGGTATTTGGTATAAATTTGTACCCCTTTTCATGATCCTAATAGCATCAAAAAACTTACATACACATACACAAAACCAAACCAACCAAACAAAAAAAACCCCACAACAAAATGGAAAAACACCACATGGTGGAGAGCTGATTAAGTCTGTCAGTTACTTTTGTGTCAGTGATACAATTTGAATTGCTGTGGGAAGACTGCTAGTGTGACTGCAGAGTCCTTGATTTCTGTCTTAAATCCACTAGTCAGAGTCTGGCCGTTTTTGTTAGAGCTGTTGGAATAGCCAGAGTAGCTGCTGATATGTATTAGCACTCTTGAAATGTGAGGAGGGGTATGTTAGGAACAACCATTTATTTTCAATACGGGGAGCATGCCTATCTGGCTTAGTTAGTATCTTGTTTTCAAGATTCTTCTACGTCAGTCTCTCTCAGCACCCCTGAGAACCTGCTGCTGAAGCTGTAGTTGCACGGCACAGCACCTGTTCAGAGCTGTGAAAGCAGACCAGGGCGTTTCTGCTGCAGAGAGACTCCCATCAGTCAGAAGCACTTGGGTGCTTTAGTCCTGGTGTAACTGAGGGTATGTCAGTTTAGCCCTGGCCCTAAGTATTAAATACACAAAAGGGAACTCTGCAGAAAGGGAACTCTGGCTGCAACAGAACAGCAGAAGTAGCTTCGAGTCAGTTAGTGTTGTTCTTGCTGGAAAGTTCTGCATCTTCTCCTGGTATTGTGTCAAGTGAAAAGCCAACATTAAAAGTGCTTCTTGAACAATCTGCAGGTACTTTTATTATTTGATTGTTTGTTTTTTTTTTTTAACAGGGTCCAAAATTTGTTTAGACCAAAGGCTCTGGATTTTTATTTGAATCAAGGGCAGTGGAACTGATTCCCTGCTGCCCCTTGTTTAGTCCTTGCAAGGCAATTTTTAATTATTTTTTTTTTCCCTTAAATTTCCACATTAAATTACTAGCTTCCATCTTGACAACCAATTATTTTCAGATATTTTGTAGCTGTCTTACTTGACTGTTAGTAATGGAAAGTTAAAAAGAGTTTGGGAGAGATCATAAAAGCCTTCAAGCTTTGCTTAACCTGCTTGGTATGACTGTATGTGAATAGTAACATTTAATGCTCATTTCAGGTCTGTTCAGAACAGAAACAACAGAGAAAGGAACTGATGTACACAAAATGGCAAATAGCTTTCCCAGAAATGTCCAGACCCTTTGACATGTGATATGCACTCAACCATAGCTGTTTTACAAGGATTTTCTTGTACTGTAAATCCAATATAGAGTGAGCATTGTGTGCCGCCCTGACCTGCCAGACTGCCTAGCCCTATGTGGTTAAACTGTGCCCTGCATCATCAGTGAATTGGGACTGAAATCTCAGGAGACAAGTGAGCAACAGTACTGTGAGCCAAGCAGAATTTTTGCTTTGTTTTCAGGGGCAGTGCTCAGCTGTGAAGCTGCAACTCAGACTGAAGTAAAACCAGACCTCTGTGCTGTCACCTTGCGGAAGAATCTGAGAGAAAGAGTCTTGAGGGGAAGACCCCATTCTTTGATAGATTACAAGTTTTACACAGACACTAAACTGCTTGTGTCATGGTTCCTCGAGCAGTCCTCCTGGATGATGAGCCCGGACATACATGAATTGGTGGAAGATATCAAGTCAGTTTTAAAATCAGATGAGAAACATATGTCAGAAGCGATCACCAGCGCCACCTTCCTTGAGCAGGTAGTTTTATTACTTGTATTTATCAGGGGATGTGCAAACCCGAGCTGGCCTTGGTTTGGGAATATAGGCTTACATTAGCCACTCTGCTTTGTTCAGTACTTCAGTTTCATTCAGGGACCGTGCAAGAGGCTGTGTAGGTATGATTGATGTCTCTTGCTGTATGAACCACATGGCCAGGAAGGCTTTCAGAAGATTGAATATGCATGTATCTAAAAGCTGAAGGAGATAATCTTCTGTGATAGAATAATGAACTGCAAATAATATGACACTGTTTTATACTGAACGTGGCAGGGGTAAGGGAAGAGGTGTTATAAAGCATTTACTATTATAAACTGGAAGGAGTGTAAGCTGATGAGGAAATTTTTATGTAAACCTACTAGAAGCAAATTTTTGTAGTTGGCTTCCATGATGAAAATAATAGTACAAAAGGAAAAAAAAACAAAGCAGAAAGTAGAAGACGTGCTTATATTAATGGAATTAAGAATTTTCAGACATAACAGACTTCATCAAACAAATGTTTTGGTTGCTTACAGACTATTTGGATAGATTCACACAGGGTACAAGTGATTTGGTGTGACAATTAGTTCTGGTTTGCATTCACACACAAAACACATCAAAGATTGTACTCTGGGCTCTGCAGATTAAGTGAGATTTCACACTGTAGCCTACAGGCAGCAAAAACCTCGACTGATTTGAAAGAAATGGCTGAAAAAAAATTCTTTATGGGAATTTAGTATATCATGCTGGCCTGTGAGATTGCTTTTTCCACACCTTCTTGAAAAAAATAGCACTTTTAGTTGCAGCTTTTTAAATTATTCTTTAAAAGTAACAAAGCGCTACACAAAGTTTCTCTCTAGTAGGGTAAGAAACTATTTTAATGGAACAAGAACCTGAAAATAAATGTTATTTACTTTTTTTTTTTTTTTTCCCCTTTCCCCTCCTTTTAAAGGCTATGGCACCTGCCCAGCAAGCCATGTCATTGAGTGCCCATGGGTTACCTTCCAGACAACATCTACATCTTGAATTTCTGCACCTGGACAGCTGTGGTGACCTGAGTACTTTTACCACATATGAAGATCAGCTAGCAGAGAGGAGGATCCAGAGAGCTGAACACAAACGGCCTCACAGTCTTATTGGTGTTGTCAGGGAAACTGTACTCTGAGTTGGTTTCTGTTTATCCCTCAATAGAGCATTTCTGTCAGATATACCTGCTGCACAGGAAAACTATCTCTGACAATTGGGTAGAAGAGCAAATCATAGAACCACAGAATATGCTGAGTTGGAAGGTCCCCATTAGGATTTTTGAGTCCAACTCCTGTCCCTGTGTAGAACAGCCCAAGAATCACAAGAAGTGCCTGAGAGCATCATCCAAATACTTCCTGAACTCAGGCAGGCTTGGTGCTGCGACTGCTTCCCTGCGGAGCTTGTTTTAGTGCTCAACTACCCTCCGGGTGAAGAGCCTTTTCCTGATAACCAACCTGAACCTCCCCTGATTCAGGTTCCTGCCATTTCACCCAGTCCTGTCACTGGTCACAGGAGTGAAGAGATCAGGACCTGCCCCAGCTCTTCCCCTTCTGAGGAAGCCATAGACTGCAATGAGGTCACCCCTTGGCCTCCTCTAAGCTGAATAATCAAAGTGACCTCAGCTGCTCATCATAAGTCCCTCCAGACCCTTCACCATCCTTGTGGCTCTCCTTTGGACACCCTCCAGTAGCTTGATGTACTTTTTAATCAAAGTGAGGCCACACCAATGCAGAGCAGAGCAGGACAACCATCTCTCTCATCTGGCTGGCAACACCATCAGGCTCCTAAGGGGAAGCTTGCTCTACAAAGCCTATTAAGCAGATTGCAAGCTGGCCTTTATTGGGTTCTCAGGTGCAACTCCTCTGTTTGTGACACAGTAGTGTCCTGCTTCATCTCTAGTCTGTCACCACTTAGGATGGCTTTGCCTTTTTTACTCACCTTCGAAGAGCAGTGTCAGAATGGCTCTATGCCTTGGTTTACCAAGGTGAAGCAAGGACAGTTAATCCATGTGTGCACTTTGTATCTCACTGGAGAATTGGGCCAGTGTCAATGCCTGTGTTCATCTGGTGTGTATTACTGTAGCTCCACTGATTATTTCTTTTTATTTATTTGTTTGCTGGCATATAGCAATGTACCCTAGTAGAGGTGCTTGTTCTGTACCAGCTGCCATCCATTCTGGAAGCACATATGTAGCCATCTCAAATCCTCTGCAGACACGCAGGTGAAACCTAGCACTGTTTTGGCAATTTTAACACCTAGGCTGCAGTGATCCATGAGTTGACACCCTCTGGCCAATAAACAAATGTATATGCCAGTTGGCTTAAGCTGTTGACTGCAGATAGTGTGTCAAGCTCTGTTCTATGTTTGCTGCTAACACAGAATACATTAAGTATTCCCAGAGGCTGGGATAAGACAGATAAATGTTATTTGCAAGGCTAGTTGTAGCCTTCTGTTTCTCAGTAGGATGGCTACATTCTGTTGCTATTTTAATAACAAGGCTTAATTTTAAAATAAAAGTATTTCCCACTGAAAACCAAAAAGCTTGAAAATGAGTTTTAATTGAACTCATTCAGAAGTTGAAGCTTTGCAGTACAGATTAGACATTAAGAAGGAATTATTTAGTGTGAGGGTGTTGAGGCACTGGAACAGGTTGCCAGGGAAGTTGTGGATGCCCCATCCCTGGAAGTGTTCAAGGTCAGGTTAGATGGGTCTAGGAGCAACCTGGTCTAGCGGGAGGTGTGGATTTGCAGTGGGGATTGGAACTACATGATCTTTAATGTCCTGTCCATCTCCTGAATTTCCATGGTTTTGCCTGAAAATGTCTTTCTGGAGAAGGATCAACAGACACATCTCACTCAGTGAGGAAATTTACAGAAGCCATGGAAGATGCTGTATGGGATGGAACAGGGAGAAACAGCAGAGTACTTGCAGGCTGCTGCAAGGTAAAGACAGTACAAAGAAGCATCAGTGGGTAAGTGGATGCTCATAATTACGAATGAAAGATGGACTTAAAATGGAAACAAAAATGGCATCTGGTTTCTGTTTACTTCCCCAAAAGTAATTCTTAGGGCTTTCTCCTTCTCTCTGCCCCTATGCATACAGACATGCAGTTAGGATTGACATTTATAGCACCAATCAACCTCTCTAAGAATGTGCTACAGCTCCCTTCTCATATATGATGCCTTTACTTATTTTGCACTAGGTCTGAGAAGCATCTCTGCTAATTAACATGCAGTTAAAATTCTTTGGTTTCCTAAGAATTGCTGCTGCCCTCCTTCAAGAGAGTCAGAAAGCAGATTTATTCATAATGTCCTTTTATACACATTTCTGTTTGCTAAATGTATACATCCACCTTATTCCTGTAGCCCAACCACAACAATATCTAATAGTTTTTCCTAATGAGATATGACCAATGAGATACAACTTATGACCCACAGTCACAGTTCATTGTGGAGGCTGATAAACTGATTGTTCAGTGATTGTCATATTGCTGAAAATCTTGGAAGAAAATCCACCAGGATGCACATTCACAATCTGGGCATTTCATGTGCCACCTTAGTTGAAATTACAAAACAAATATTTTCTTGGCCCTGAAGCTCAGTAACCTGTGCAGTGAATATGGGGCATGATTATACACCATTCTTGTGGAGGCAGCTGTCAAAAGCAGTGTCAAAAAACCTTGCAAATTATCAGCACCATTATTTAAATTAAAAGCTCCATCATAAAATGCAGACCTTCAGATACAAAGCAGGCTTTCAGTAAACACTGGTGTTCAGAGTGATAAAACTAACCTTAATGAAAGACAATTGCTGATTTAAAAACTGTAATTCAAACACAGCAGTGCTTTTTTGGCTCAGTGACCTTCTCACTTGATGGCAGGACATTACTCTTGCACTAATGACAGAACCGAAACCAAAACCCTGGAGGGGTTTTGCACCCAGAGGTGCTGGTTTATTATCATCCCAGTAAGAAAGGCACTTGGACTCCAAAAAGTCTCATTTAAAATGTTATCCATTAGAGCTAATGCTATAATGATGATAGCACAGCTAGTTTTATATCCCTTCAGATGCAGGGAAGCCCACATTGTGTGGCATCAAACAGGTATATGATCAAGGTGCAACAAATTGTGCAGGTCTCATCCATGCAAGGGTCAACTGAGATATTACAAGATACGTGTGGAAGAAAACTACTCCCTTCGTCACTTCTACTGTCAAAAAATGGTGTTCACGTGGTAACTTAACTGCTGCACTTGTAGACACAGGCAAGGACACACAAGTGGTGTCACCACCAGCACCAAGTGGTACTGCAGTGCCTGCAGTCTCCTCTCATACTCAACCAGATGAACTTAGGCTGTGGCCAAGGGATACATCCCTGAAGGCCAGGCACAGCACACGCTTGGGCTGCTAAGGCTAACTGACATGTAGATACCTGACTCCTCCATGTGCAGTGTTCCTCAAGTCAGGATTGCTACTATATGCTCCCTCACCGAATGTTAATGTAAATCACCGTTCCAGTCCTGTTCTCAGACATGCTCAGTTCCCCCAGAGGACCAACCCCACAGCTCCAGCCTGCAAGGCACCACAAGGTACTGGAACTGGGGTGTGGTCTGTTCATCCTCCTTGTGGGGATCCAAACCATTCGAATTATTCACTGGAGGTGAGGGCAAGAAAAATGTCCTGAGAAGACAGCAATATGTGAGATTTATATCGCACAGCCAAAGGAGAAGACAGTCTTGAATTTATCCACTGAAATGCAAAGAGCTTTAACAAGGATGGGAATAAACCCACTGGAAGATGGAGGGTGACACGCAGGCTATCACAGAAAGCAAGCTCAGCCTGCACCACTTACCAAAGACGTCACAATCTATCCAATTTACCATTTAAGCAAATGAGGTGAAATACGTCATTCTCCCCTGTTGGCAATATTTGTATTTCATTCTAAGAACAGCCACTCAGTGGCTGAAGGCCCACATTTAGTTTTCTTCTGAATCAGCTGTGATGTACGTTTTCTCTTCTGTAGTTTCAAAGTGCTTGTGACAAACTACCAAGTACAGAAAATCCTATAAAGCCTCACCTGAAGAAATGCTCCTGTGTTGGCTTTTGATAGTTGACTTTCAAACACCATAACATTTTTCATAATCTATGTATCTCTTATTATACAAATAATTTATCCTTAGCACAAGCAGTTCTGTGATTTATTGTAAGGACAGACATGATACAATTCTGCTTTTTATTTATTCAAATGGTATTAAATCTTTAAGAAAAAAACATTCTCACAACCTCGGAGGAAAAATAGTGGTTTCAGAAATGATAGAAAGTGTAAGGGATTTTTAGCAGGGCTTTATGTATGAAAAAAGCCTATTTAAAGCTATTCAGACAACGAAATAGTATTTCTATCACATAAAAGACATCTTGAAATAATGTATTTTTGGAAGATTCAGACATGGTGACATTTCACATGATAAAAACTGGGATGCAACCTTAGATAAGGAATTAGCCTCATTGAGGAGCACTAGTGTCATTTATTACCTGAATACAACACTGTTTTAAAAAGAAAGTTAATATTATTGGTTCATCTGCAGACACACATACAGCATCACTCCAGACTAGGAGGAAAAAGAGAAGTCCAGACACCTTCCAAGCATTCACACTCTCAGTATGGGCAAGCCAACCCCTAGACCAGTACGAGCAAACTCTCAGCCTTGTCTGAGGTATTTTTGGTTTGTGTTTTATTGTTGCAAATCTTACAGACATTAGCGCTCTGTTAAATAAAGGAATGTATCACAGTAAATACATCACAACAAAATAGCTGGCCAGAAAACCACCTACCCTGCCCCACCCAAAACAGCCCACTCCTCTCCTGCCTGCCTCCCCCCAAGTCAAACTACTGCAGCTTCATTACAGGGGTCAGAGACCTGTGGCAAAAAACATCTGAGGAATTACATTAAATAGATGTGCAGTATCAACATTCCAGGCTCACATATATTTATATATATATATTTATATTTTTATATAGAGATCATTAAATGTTTACAAAGAACAATATTGTTACAAATACAATACTATACTTTTCCCAACGCTTTACAATAATTTCTATTCACCCTCTTTACAGAACAATAGTACAATACTTAGCCTAGGTACTGCGCTAAATATGTACAAGAGATCTCAACCACATCGCTGTCTTCAGAAATAAATCTCATTTAGAAAACAAGGAAAGCTAGGAAACCTGAAAATCCCAACTGAGTGTCAAATTCAAACAAGATTCAAAAACAATGTGTGAAACTTGCCAACAAAAAAAAAAACAAAAACAAAGGATGTTTCATCCTTCATGTAAACACAGAAGAGTTAATTTTGACTGTATGAAGCAGCAAGGATGAAAAAGAATTAAGGTCTGTCACCACAGAAGGAATGTAAACCAGCAGTTTGTTCCTCTGAATCTGTTAAGACATTCATGTACACAATCGAACCACCTGCTGCAACAGTCTAGAGAACTGCCAGCTTTTTCTTTTGAGCTCCTTTTTCTTGAGACTCTTTCCCTAGACCAGTACGAGCAAACTCTCAGCCTTGTCTGAGGTATTTTTGGTTTGTGTTTTATTGTTGCAAATCTTACAGACATTAGCGCTCTGTTAAATAAAGGAATGTATCACAGTAAATACATCACAACAAAATAGCTGGCCAGAAAACCACCTACCCTGCCCCACCCAAAACAGCCCACTCCTCTCCTGCCTGCCTCCCCCCAAGTCAAACTACTGCAGCTTCATTACAGGGGTCAGAGACCTGTGGCAAAAAACATCTGAGGAATTACATTCAGTAGATGTGCAGTATCAACATTCCAGGCTCACATATATTTATATATATATATTTATATTTTTATATAGAGATCATTAAATGTTTACAAAGAACAATATTGTTACAAATACAATACTATACTTTTCCCAACGCTTTACAATAATTTCTATTCACCCTCTTTACAGAACAATAGTACAATACTTAGCCTAGGTACTGCGCTAAATATGTACAAGAGATCTCAACCACATCGCTGTCTTCAGAAATAAATCTCATTTAGAAAACAAGGAAAGCTAGGAAACCTGAAAATCCCAACTGAGTGTCAAATTCAAACAAGATTCAAAAACAATGTGTGAAACTTGCCAACAAAAAAAAAAACAAAAACAAAGGATGTTTCATCCTTCATGTAAACACAGAAGAGTTAATTTTGACTGTATGAAGCAGCAAGGATGAAAAAGAATTAAGGTCTGTCACCACAGAAGGAATGTAAACCAGCAGTTTGTTCCTCTGAATCTGTTAAGACATTCATGTACACAATCGAACCACCTGCTGCAACAGTCTAGAGAACTGCCAGCTTTTTCTTTTGAGCTCCTTTTTCTTGAGACTCTTTCTGAAGGTAAACGGGAATGTCTACCAGACCATTATCAGAAGTGTGCACAGACTATGGACCTCCCTGTTTAGAAATCTCACCCACACTCTGTAATTGGAAAAATTGAGATTTTTTTGCTAGACTCTGATCCTGCAAGCATTCACTTGCTTAATGTTAAGGACCTGTTTTACCATGAACCAAGCACTCAAACGTGACAGTAACTTAACAGAGTAATGTGAGATTTTCAAATAAACAGTTGTTTCATCCCCAAATACATTTGCATGGTCAGCTCTTCATCACTCCCCAGTGACGTGAGTGAAAGGTCCCACAACACGAGTTGGACAGAACCACAGAAATGAGTGAAGCTGAGAGGGTAAACACAGGAGGAACCAGAAGCATGGTAACTGTCTTCAAGAGTATCTTAAGTTTCCTCAGGCAACTTATGGAAAGGCTGCACTGTATATCACCTTCTAAATTGTACATGGTTATAGATCATATTTACATATATTACTATATATATGGAAAGCTCTGGAAAAAACTTCAAATTATCATAAACCAGATGTCTACATTTAAACTATATACTCACAATTCATTCACTATCTAGTTGCATCAGTCAGGCAGCAGAGGTAAGTACTAACCTGGAATGCTAACACTGCTCTCTTGTGCAATCTGCTATTCTGGAGACTGAGATTAAATTATGTAACAAGAAGTGCAGCAAAAATCAAGTCATCATACATTAATTGCAACACTAAAACATATTCACTTACTACAATAGTTTACGCATCATTTCATTATCTCCCTTAAGTAGTTACTACCCACTGAATTTTGATCAGCCCACGGATATCCATGATTTCTGAAAGCCAAAAACAAAGCTCTGGCAAGAGTGCTCAGTGGCTCTCAGCAGTGTTTGTGCCAAGTGTGCGTGTGCACACACAGACACACACATACACTTCCAGCCATCTCCGTAGTCATGTCTAGGTATTGTTACTGGAGTGCAAACAATGCTCACATTGCACAGTCCACCCCACAGTAATTGATAAACAAGTGACTCCAACCAACAGCACATTTGCAAAGCAGAAGTGGTGTCTGGCTGTGTGTGGCCTGTTTTTGTTTTCATCTCACTGAGCCTTTCTATCACAGTGCAACACAGGAACTGTTTCTTCAAAAGAAATCAACAGATTAGCCTGGACTACATGTATGGTTCAATTTCAGCATTAACACCAGG